TCCTTCCAGGTCACGTAGCGCACTCTCTCATCTCGTCACTGCGAGGGCACCGCTGGGATTGGAGCGTCGCCGGCCCGTCCGGTTCACGGAAGATTAAGATATCTCCGCCGTGAAATATCAGCCTCTGGTGCTATATTCGACGCAGCAATCAGCACACCAAGCAGAACAGAGCCATTGAGCGGTCACCAGATGCGAGGGCTGTTGCGTAGTCTGTGGCCGCTTTAGTGCTGCAGCCTTGCGCCTCTCAGCTACAACAGCCCGACCGTCGGAAATTGATAACCCGTCCCTGGCCGTCCAACTGCGAAGCTGGTGCTTGATCCGCTGCTGCTTGATCCGCTGCTGCTTGATTCTTCTGCTTGATCTTGCTGACCGCTGGATAGGCTTGTTGGGCAAGCATCGCGTGCGGATGGCTCTTGGCGAGGGCTGCTGGGCAGTAAATACTCACGTGAAGGCACTAGTCCAATAATGTTGGCTACGTTTCGTGTTCGAAGTACGTGCCAGATGGCTGCCTGATCACAAAATGGTGCTGTGCGGATCAATACAACATGGGTCGCTCAGAACAGAGTTCTCAGTTTGAAATAGCATCTGTCCCACTCTCCCACTCCTTCTCTTTTCCAACATCTTAGATGTGTTGCATCCCGGCCAATGAACGTAGTTACTCAGCCGTAAACGTAGCTACAGCTACGCAGACGTCAAAGTGTAGCTGCGTAATCGACATCTGTCGTCGATGATGGGAGACAGCGCGATGACTGCCTGGCGTAATGGACTTGCCTGCTTTCCTTGGTTTTCCTGGCCACTCTGCGTAGGTCGCTCGCCGACCTTTTTAATTCTAGGCGCGCGGCTGCGATACAAAGCCCGAGGCATGACGTAAGCGCCCTCTGACAAATCCTCGTTGTCGCAGTCCGTGAATCATGGAGCCCAGGTTCGGGGCGCTGCCGAGCTCCAATCAGCTAATGGGGAGGCGGCGACCCGCCGCGCTCTCCCCACTTCCCTAATGAGCCGCCCTGGTCAGCGGGCCATCGCCGGCGGCGGGAGCGCTTCGAACCGCCTCACCCCGCCCCGAGTCCGCCGCCGCCCCGCCCCTGCCCCGCCACCCGAGCACCGGGTTATCTAAACGCCACGCGGGCAGTGACCCGACTCACCCCTGCGGCTCGTGGCCACCGCGGACGCCGCCGCCATCGGCGCCGGTATAATCGATAGGGAATCCGTACCTGGCACTCGATCATCGATTATTTGCGAAGCCCTGCGTGAACGCAGCCCGTGTGACGTCAGCGCACTGGGCCGGTCCGCCGCTGTGTCCCGGGGGCGCCCCGCCGCTCGCCCTGACCCACTCGACCGCCGGCTATTGGTCGCCCCGTCTTCGGCGGAGACGCAAGTCGCAGGTGATTTTCCGAAGTTGCATTGCCCGGGCGCTGGTGCTCATCGCGGGATGCCTTCCAGGGTTCCGCGCGGCAGCAGAACGCCGTGTCAGCGTTGAACATGCACGCTGCCACTTTGCCCCGCGGCGGAACAAAGGGCTCGCCACTCGTCCGCTGGTGGCCTTCATATATCAAACATTAGCGCTAAAAATGCACCGCCGATGAAAATCGACAAGCTTTCTCGACGGAGGACACGGTAATTTATGGTTTCTATTATGCCTCAAAACGCCCTGTTTATGGTCCATTACAGCAAAGTCCACCCGATATCCCCCCCCGACAGTTAGCCATCGAAGTCACTCGACACGTAATCCTGAGTGCCGGTTCTTAACGATTTCATCGCCCCCTCGTGAGCTCAGGTTTGGGCACAGTTAATGAGCTCACGGCGCACACTAGGTGGATCTGCGCCGAGGCCCACGGCTTTGTGTGTCACGTGCATGGCCAGGGTGGGTGTGTGCGTGCGTGAGCAGTTACTTTTGCGGTGCGCGCTAGAGCACGGTACATTTCTGCTTTCAGAGAGCAAGTCGTCCCCTCGCCTTTGGAAGTCACTTGTGACCGTTTTTGAGCCTATTGGCTTCTACGCATATGCAAAGTTTCCAGACGACTTTATTGCGAAATGTTTCGTCATCCGAAAATTGTCGTTGCATTCCTATGCCTATCATCTCATATGCATTATTGTGTGTGGGCGTCCCCTCTGCCTGTTGCGTGCCTCTGTGTCTGTCCGTCTGTCTGCCTGTCTGCGTGTCTGCGTGTTTGTGTGTATGTGTGTCTGTCTGTCTGTCTTCTGTCTGTCTGTCTGTCTGTCTGTCTGTCTGACAGTGTAACCTTGTCGGTCAGCGTTCCACAGGAACCCCTCCCCGAACGCAGCCCGTAGCTGAATGTCGCTTTGTTTTACGTTTCGATTGGAAATCCACCCTTCGGCATTGAACAAACACCCCCCCCCCCTCGTCTAATTGCACGAGAGTATCGCATTAGCAT